TGGAAATGAGGTGTTCCATGAACATGAAAACTGCTATAGTGATGGTGTCAATTAATAATGAAGTGGCTAGCACTAAGAGGCAAGTAGGATCCCTATAACAGAGTCTGAATTTGGCTATAAGTTTTGAGAATTGATCTGAATGATGAGGGAAGATCATTCGCCAAGTGGCTAAGAGATTGATTAGCAGTTTCAAATGGAAGGTGATGCACCTGTTGTAGAATTTCTCAGATCAAAATGAGCCCAACAGTTTGAGAATTTATGTTCAAACATGTAGCAGGAGCAGCAGTTTGATTGGATATTTTCCTTTTCTTTCTTCAGTCAGTACCCAATCGATGGGGACCCAATCCAAATCTTTATCAAAATGGGGAATTCCACCGATAATCTGGCCACAATACGCCTAGAAAGATTATTTTCATAGCATCATTCCACAAAATAATTATAAAATAAAAGAATAAGGTTGATTGGTTGAAGTGCTGCATATAAAGTCTTGAAATTGAGATCTATGCAGGAGCAACATATGTTTTTATAGGGCAATCAAAATGAGGTGACCATTTTAGCTTTTGTGAATTTATGCCCAAACATATGGCATGAGGAGCAGTGCGATGACATATTTTCATATTTCAGAAGCAATAGTTTTTTGACTAATCATATGTATAGACTACTAAGCAATAATTTGATGTTACCATATGCCATGCTTGCAATGTGATATGCATAATCCATAATGTCAAGGTCATATGCATAATCTGATTTGAACCAACAGAAATCGGGTAGAGATGAAGAAAAGAATGGCCGAATTGTAGCATGTAATAAAGATAGTCCTTTTCCAAATCCATATTGTAGCATTCAATAGAGATGCAACGGAAATTGTAAACAACTTTTTTGTAAGACGTTTCCCAGTATAAACTAACGAATGAACTTGCAATTCTCTGGGCTAGTCCTCACTTTTAAGCAAGAAAAAATGGAAGTTCTTTGAGACAGATGCCAAATCAAGAGAAGGTTTAAAAGATTGTGTTAACTACCAAACAATCACTCGCAAAACTCAGAGATCCGAAGCAATAGAAGCAGATACATGGAGAAGAACCAAAAAAAATTCATCGATCCATAAAACTCACGAATCCAGAGCATATCTCGACAGATCCAAAGCCTATCCTAAAAAATCCAACGACAAACAATAGTAGATCTTACCGGAGAGGGAAAAAGAACGAGAAATCGAGCCCTAATGATGCTTTCGTTCGGAGAGGGAGGAAGCGAGGGGAGAACGCGAGAGAGATCACCAAGGGCAAAAGAAGGAATTGCAGCCCTAACGCCAACAGCCAACGCCGAACGCAGGAGGCGCCCCGCGATCCGGATAATGAAGAAAAACCGAACCGCGGGACGCAGCGTTCAGAACGCCGCCGAACGAACGCTCGAAACAAACGCGTAGGCGGCGTTCTGAAAACGCCACCGTCGATGAAAAAGCTGTGCCAAACAGGGCCTTAGTCTCCCATACCATGGAAAATTCAAGAGCCTAGTCAAACTCATCCCAGTTCAAAAAAATTTAAGTTGATTAGACTTGACCTCGATTTAATACTACCCCTTGTAGTCCTTGATTTATGGTGTTAGTCAAATAAACTTAAGTGAACCGAAGCCCAACATGATTCGACTGATGATGGCTTATGGAAGTTTAAGGACCTATGGTTCCAACCTATATTAGATTTGACTTAGACTAAACAAAGATTCCACACAACTTAGCGCAATTAGACGCCTTGTGAGCCTTTAGGTGCAATTTTCTGGATTTTAGCCTAATTTCTATTTGAGTAGAGTAACTCTATTAAACCATTTGATCACCTAGGTTAAATTTTAGACGACCTATTGACATCAAAATATACTAAGGGTTCCTTTGATGCTTAACTTGAACCAATTGCATGACTAGACCAAGTTAGCTCATAATTAGTCCAATTAAGCCCAACATGGGTTAACCATTCACTTAGCCTAATTTAGGTTGGTAAAACTCTTAAATAAGTAACCTTGTGATATGAATAGATCATATACATGTTTGAAAGATCTAAGGACCACTTGAACCAAGCCAATTACATGGTTATCCCAAAGTGAACCTTTTTGAACCCAATTGAGTGCCTTTCGAACAATTTACTAAATCCAAACTAATAATGCATTTTTTAGCTCACCACTCAACTACCTAGTGTCCCTAGTTGACTTAAGTTCTCAAAACATAAGTGTTTTTGCTCTTTTTCTCTCTTTTATGTTTTTGAATGAGTCACCAACTTGTTTATTTATAATCGTCGTATTATTCTCTTATTCGAGCAAATCTTTCTCTCGGATAAAATGAATGATTCGAAGAAGAGAGAAACTGAAAGGAGGTATATATGACAAGAAATAAACAAACAATAAAATGAACAAGGAAAATATTTGTAAAATGAACTTAGTGTGATAGCCCAAGAGCGTATGCCCAAAATGAGATCAGGTAGAAAATGCCTTGGAGACATATCAGCGAAAAGAACCATTATATAAGATGAGAAATGATAACATTAATTTAAATAACACAAATAATTTCTCCCGTCTTTTTTGGAAGAGTTGGAAGGATATAAGCTTATTCTTGTCATGAGAGATCATAGAGATATTTGTGATGGTGGCTATGCATAACTCGGATGTAATAAGGTGCAATAGATGCTAAAAAGATTTTGCCTAATGCTTATAAGAAAATTAAAATATTAAAAATTAGTCTTAGAATTAATTCATTTGAATGATTTATTTTATATTTTTCATACTAATTTGTTTGCATAAAAAGTTTGACTACCATCAAGAAAATTTGTTAGTTTTGTCCCAATGATGATTATGGTAAATTCTCATGGGAATTGTTGGGACCATTTTTCCTGCTACCTTCTCTTGCTATACCAAATGTCGTTATTAACAAAACACTATTAAAAATGTTATACATCAAGATTAATCAGGTTCAACAACACATCACTAATGAACAAATTATGCATCTAGTTTGAGTGAGTTAGCATTGAGCAACTTCATGTATCTTCTCAATGAGGAACTACGATTAGATTTTTCTTTTTAATAAAAAAAAATATTAGAATATGCACAGAATTAAAAATATATGATTTTAAGTTAAAAATATTATATTTTTATTCTTTTTAATAAAATTAAATTTAAAATGTTTATATAATTTTTTTAGATAGATCTTAATAAAGTTTTGAATTGATAGAGCGTTAAATTCACCATCCAAAACCCACACATAAGTTGAAAGTTTGAAATATTGATGCATTTGAGGGTGCATGTGCATGGGGTGTGGATGAAAGAAAATCAAAGGATACAGTGGGCGTTTGCAAATTGATAGTAGTGAGGATTTGAATGTATTAGGGGGAGAAGAGAGAAAGAAGAGGAAAGAAAAAAACATATTGGGGTGGTGTGCAATCTTCAACACAATGAAAATATGACTATATTAGCATTGTGATCCTTTCATAGATATATGAAGACTTTTTTAGGTGCTTTTAAATAGGAAATTTTTAATACTATTTAAATTTAATTTTGTTATTTTCACTAATCATATTATTTATTTATTTTTAAAATTTTAGACTTTTAAAGTTTTATCTTTAGATGCTAGATTGAGTGTACTTAGGTTATTTTCTCCAACACAAATAAACTAGATTGAGCATTCCATCTTTCTTTTTTGGCATTTACTATATTTTTAACCATACACACAAATCTTAGTGATTTTAATTGTGCTTGAATCTAATTATTATTATTATTATTATTATTATTATTATTATTATTATTATTATATATATATTTTTCTTAAGGATAAAAATATTTATTCTATTTTCACTAAATAAGCTCAAAATTAGGCACATGTAAAAGTTGGGTATATTCCTATATGCCAATATGGTTAATATCATAATTATGAAGGAAGATTTACATACATACCACTCAATTTCTATGTATTTACATATCTATCACCTAAACTTTAACTTTTACACATATCACATGTACACACACACACCACGTTATCTATACATGAAAATGTGTGTTTGTTTTTTAAAAGTTAAAATAATGATATTGTTTATGTGATAAGAAAGATTAGAATTGTATAAATATAATAAGTAGAACTCAGGCGCTATACATGTACATACAGAGGAATGCCCCAATTCTAATCATGCATAAATCTAAAAATTAGAAATTTGTCATTGATGTCAAACAACTTGAAGTTAGAAACAAAATAGCATATCATTTTCGTTCAAGCCCTACTCTTGCGGCCAATCTAAGAGCAATATTTTGCTAACGGCCATGTGCTAAGCACACAATACCATGAGGAATGAGGATTCATATTTGAAGATAAAAATGAGCCTGTGGGCGTCATTAATTAACAAATGAGCAAACGAAGGTATAATATCTCTTTAAAGCTCCATTAACATTAGGACAACTCTCCAAATTGAATTGTATATGTCTAATTTCTTCTTACAAATTTGAAATTTTATGCCAAATCAAAATGAATCGATCATATTAAAATCGTCCTACCATAAGAAAAACTGTCAGACTTTGTATATACGACCTATCTATCCCTTGGCTATTAACTCACCCAGACCCTTGCGCGGATAACTAATTCGACCACATCAAATATAAATATATAGCATAATTTCTTACATTATAGAATAATGTAACAAATTGCCTCACCCGCTTTCATCTTTGGCTTTCATAATGCACCATTTACATGCATGCCACCTAATTCTTACGCATTGACATATCTAACACCTATATTTTATTTCTTACATATATACCACCTAAATCATTCATATCACATTAAAAGTACCATTATTTAACTTTCAAAGAGTGAAATACAAATTTTTGATGTACAGATAAAATGTTACATACATAATTCAAAGGTCAAATACGTAAATATATAAGAATTGAGCAGTAACTATCAATGTATGTAATATTCCAAAATATAAATATACATTATAAGCATCGTGCTCAATTCTATCACAACACCAAGTGCCCATTATCAATAAATATCGCAATATACATGCAAATGACAGTTCAGCTCAGTTTCCAGAAGGTTACAGGAGGCAATGAAAAATCATGATATAATCTGGTGGCGCGAAAGGCTGCGTGCCTTTCGAGAGAAGCGGGCGTCCACTAACGTTCCTTGACACCGCGTGGTCGCCTTCCATCTCCGCCCTTTCTATTTACCGCTATTTCTCTGTTTCGCTCCTCGCCGTCTCAAAAGCCAGATCGCCGATTGGGGTTTTGAGCTCTGTGGTTGTTTCATCGATCAATATCCTGTTCCTGCTTGTCTCGTACCAGAGCTCTTCAAGGTGAATCCCCATCGTCTCCTTTTCTGTGATTGATATGCAAAGATGATGGCTTTGTTATATGGGATTGGTTGCTTCAAATCGTTTTGCTTATTTTAGATTCTCCAAATTTTACTTTTTTTTATGCGTCATAAGAAATTTTTGGTATGTGATTTGGGGCATTTCATTTATCTGTTGCAAGCTTAGTAAAATAATGGGTGTGGATGTTGCTGAATTTGCCATACGCGTATATTCCTCTTAACTTCTCCAAAAAGGAAAAAAAAAACTGCCAAATGTGGGGTTAAAAACTTGAATTTTGTAAACATATGCGCATTATATAACTTTTATTTTCAAAGTGGATATTGCTTATATGGATGTTAAGAGTTGAGTTCCTAATGGCGTTTTTTAAGCTTTTGGACTGATGGATGTTCATCTATTGATATATTGCTTTAATTTGGGACCTCGTGTTTCATCGTCCTAAATCATAACCTTAATGGCGGTTAGATTTAATGAATCTGCATTATTAAAGAATAGGCAGATTGTTGAATGTTAATTTAAATTATCTTAAGGTTAAATTCTATTGAACTAGGTGGCATGAGTATCTGACAAATAGAGTATATGACAATGCAAAATATATAAATACATGTACCGAATAAATGTAAGAGCTTATAATTAAAAATTTTAAAATCATAACCTATTCTTTACAAATCATAATGAAACCTTAAAAAATAAAATAAATAAAATGTGCGAAAAAACACTTGAAATATGTATTTTATTTTTGCAGTTATAAATGGCCATATATATATATATATATATATATAAGGCTACAAAGGCTATTACTAGGTCTACAATGAAGTCATACATGTTATTTTGTTGCAAAAATTTATAATTTTGATGTTTTACACTCATATATGTAGTCGTTTCCTCAGACTCCAAAAATGGCGGATGGTGAAGAAATTCATCCTCTTGTTTGTGACAATGGTACCGGAATGGTCAAGGTGCAAATACTTATCTTCTTTGCTGAGCCTTACTTTCAGAACATATTTCATCCTATGAATTATCCTGATTCTCGTGATACTCATTAGCATTAGCAGGGCGCTTCTCATTATTAACATTTACGAAGATTTACACACATGCTACCTTATCTATGCATGAAAAGATGTATTTCATTTTTTTTAAAGTTCAAATGATGACACTTTTGATGTGATATGTAAGATTTGGTTGTTATAAATGTAAAAAGCTAAGTTTAGGCGTTAGATATGTAAATACATATGAATTGAGTGGAATGTATATAAATGCCTTCTTCCTTTCCCCTCAGGCTGGATTTGCCGGAGATGATGCTCCAAGGGCCGTCTTCCCCAGCATTGTTGGTCGCCCTCGCCACACCGGGGTGATGGTCGGCATGGGTCAAAAAGATGCATATGTTGGAGATGAAGCACAATCCAAGCGTGGTATTTTAACTTTGAAATACCCAATTGAGCATGGCATTGTGAGCAATTGGGATGACATGGAGAAGATCTGGCATCATACTTTCTACAATGAGCTTCGTGTGGCCCCGGAAGAACACCCAGTTCTTCTGACTGAGGCACCACTTAATCCTAAGGCTAATCGTGAAAAGATGACCCAAATCATGTTTGAAACCTTCAATACTCCAGCTATGTATGTGGCAATTCAGGCTGTTCTCTCTCTGTATGCCAGTGGTCGCACAACTGGTGAGAAAACTTGCTACTTCACGTTTTTCGCTCTTTTTAATGAACTAAAAATTACTTCAATTGTAATTTAATATGCAGAAAAAATCTGAAATAGTTGGGTTTTTTAATTGTGGAGAAAATTGACTTGTATAGTTCTGTCAGTGCGACCTTCATTTGTAGAAAGTTCATCTTATGCAGAACTAGATGCTCTTGTTAAAATAATTGATACTTTAAATCATATGACATAATTTTCTGCTGTTTCTGAATGACTTTACATTTTTTACACAAGTATTTGTCAAGTAAGATAATGCGTTATGCTTTACGTAATTTTTCTTCGCCAGATTAACACTTAGGGATCCTTTGAGATAATTTTTGGTTTTTTTCAGCTTTCTTTTTTATTTTATATTTTTTATGCTTTGATTTAAATTAAAACATGTTTCATTGAGGCATTTGTTTTTAAAAATATTCAAAACATCTTTTAGGTATTAAAAATAAAAATTATAATATAAAAAAATTATACGAAACAAACATCTTTTCAAAAACAAAAGAAATAATAACAACAAAAAGATGAAACAAAAAATAATGTCAGACTGGCGCTTAACTAATACAAAAATAGGTGCATCTCAAATTTACTTTGTATTTGTCCATTTTTCTATTAGTCATGTGTGATTTGTTGTTGAATTTTACGTGAATAAAGCATGATTCCTTTATAATATTTACAGCAAGGAAACAATTTTAACCATTTGTCACTAATAACCATAATATCCCGTGAGGTCCCTAACTCACCACAATACTCTAATATCCTAACCGAATGGATGCAGGGAAATCATTATAGCTTTTCTCCACTCTCTAGAAGTTTGTATTTATCAATATTATATACCTGTACTACAGTGTGGTAAGGTAGAGAAATCTTATTATTCTGTATGCCTCTCTTCTATTTCTGAAAACAATACATACTGGTATATCTTCCTTTCTCTGTTTTTGGCCGTGCTATGACTGTTCTCAGTCACTCATAGGATGAAACTCTCAGGTTCTTGTATTTTAAAGAGCTGAGTGTTATGAAGCTTTCAAAGCTGATAGATATATCCAAACAGTCATTCTAACTGCTAATAATTTCATCTTGTTAAGTCATTTCATACAGCTGAATGACATTGTGGTTGTTTTTTTCTTGTGGGATTCCTAACCAGGTATTGTTCTAGACTCCGGTGATGGTGTCAGTCATACAGTCCCAATCTATGAGGGCTATGCTCTTCCTCATGCCATACTTCGTCTAGATTTAGCTGGTCGTGACCTGACCGATGCTCTCATGAAGATCCTTACAGAGCGTGGCTATTCCTTCACTACTACAGCTGAGCGTGAAATTGTGAGGGACGTGAAGGAGAAGCTTGCATATATTGCTCTTGATTATGAGCAAGAGTTAGAGGTTGCCAAGTCCAGCTCATCTGTGGACAAGCCCTATGAGCTTCCTGATGGGCAGGTGATCACTATTGGTGCTGAGAGATTCCGTTGCCCAGAGGTTCTCTTCCAGCCATCAATGATTGGTATGGAAGCAGCGGGAATCCATGAGACTACTTACAACTCTATTATGAAGTGTGATGTTGACATAAGGAAAGATCTTTATGGGAACATAGTTTTGAGTGGTGGTTCTACGATGTTTCCTGGTATTGCCGAGAGGATGAACAAGGAGATCACGGCGTTGGCACCGAGTAGCATGAAGATTAAAGTGGTGGCTCCACCGGAGAGGAAGTATAGTGTGTGGATTGGAGGTTCTATCTTAGCATCACTTAGCACTTTCCAACAGGTACATTTGTCCATTTTGTTACTTGGATTTAAATTAAAAATTTTATGGCTATTGCTTTTACACATTATTTTTTTAATGATTTTTTTAGGGAAATTACATGCCCATGCACCTCCAAGCAATATTTTTTGTTTTCAGCCAAATCACACATTATTCTTGTTAGCATAAGAATGCGCCGTATAAATTATTCATGTTGGTGGTTCTGAGTCAAATGGATTTTAAGGTTGGGCATGATACTGTAATGGTGAAATTCATTTTTAATCAAAAATCTTATGCCTTAAGGAGAGGGCCAACTACTTGGTATTACTACACTAATATATTTCATTAATTATCTTTGCGATACTAAACTCAATATCCTCATAAGTCTTAAAATCTTGTGACTCATTTTAAGAGTCTCTTCTTTATTACATGCATTACTTATTTCAGTGGTAGTACCTTAGTGCCTCTTTGTGCTCAGCTCAAATGCTAGGCAAATTTAGTATACCTTTTTTATATAAGGAGAAAGTGTCAAAATAGTCCCCTCATTCTTTGTAGAGTTCCATTTTGGTCGTAGAGTTTATAAAAGTGTGAAATTAGTCTCGAGACTTTTATATTATTGGCTGGACTAAAATGGCCTCACGTAACTTTACTCTTTATCCAAGTATGTTTGCTAGGAACCGCATCATACCTTTTTTTCTTGTTATTACACTTTTTATTATAAACAAAGAATGAAATATATAACTAAAAGAGCATAAATACAACATGTTTTGAATTATTTTTATCATCTTTCTTCATTCATTTTTGTTCTTTTAAAGTGAAACAAAAAATCCCAAATTTTTAGTTTTGATCTGCATTCAGTTTGAGAGTGGACAATAGCTTACAGTCTTATTTCTTGCCATTTCTTAATAATTTGTTTTTCTTCTGGATGGTTACAGTAGGTGGTCTGAACTTAGCTAACTCCAATCAGCATAGCTCTCATTCCTCAATGAGGATTACCCTGCTTGTGCAGCTCTTGGAATCAAATTGATTAGTCTTTTCAAAACTATCAGATTTTCATTTGAACTGCAGATATGAACAATAAGACTGCAATTTCTCTTTTAACAGATATAACTTTCCCTTTATATAGAATATCTGTCACTTCAAAACATAAAATTTATAGTGAAAGTTGTAAGACCTTTGGATTTGCAAATGAGCAACGTTAGCTTATGCTGCCCATCGCGATTCAAAAAATCGGCGGCGAGCATAGAAAAAAGGGCCTTTACTGTTTCTTTGGATTGGCTGTAACGAGTTCTTTCTTTTTATATTTCCATTCTATTTAAAGATTTGCACTGAAATTCTGATTTGCTCGACAGATGTGGATTGCGAAGGCAGAGTATGATGAATCAGGACCATCCATCGTGCATCGAAAATGTTTCTAGACAATTAAAAGGTGGAAAATGAAACAGAGCGCTTACCCATGAAGAAACTGGGTGATAGCTACCCTTCTATTTTGACTGTTTTTTATTGCTTGCGCCATGAACAAGATTGATGGTGATGTTCTTCTTCCAGTGATCATTTTCATCTCAGTGTGTTTCCATCATTATTTTCTTTCTTTTTTTCTTTGAAAATTAACAATTGTGCTGCTTTTTACATACACTTCTTGGATGTAAGTATGGTTTTCAGTTTTATTTTTCTTGATTGATGTTAAACCCTTAATAATTCACTTGTTTTAGTGAAGTTTTTTCTATTTTCCGTTGATACATTTGTGAATTGTCAAACTGAGAACTGAAAGCCACAGATGATGGAGTACATTAGTTTTCATGATTTTTTTTTTTTTTGTCAAGCTTAAACGCATGTATACTAATGTTAAAAAATTCCAGCTTTGAAGCCTTTCTCCTAATTATTTAACGTTCTTTTTATGAAATTTATGTCACTATTATCACACTTGACAAGCTTTTTTTTGTAATTTCTTAATGATGAACATTAGTCCTTAAATTTCTCCTATAACGTTTTTTATCATAAAAATGAGCAAGGGTTCAACTTGGATATTGACGCGGGCCATGAACATGAAGTTATGCAGACACATGGACATGACAAATGTTGGTTAAGACAATGCTTTTTTGATAGAGAAAATTGTTCAACTTTATGTTCCACAAAAAACTAAAATGTCAAAATACGAAGTTCCATAAATGAACTAGAAACAATTCTAGTTACATATGGTATAAAACATCAAAAAATTGTGTAGCTGCTTTTGGAAGAAGTCTCATTCATCCAGAGTTAAACTTGTATTCAAATATACCAATGAACTTGAAAAGAGTGGGTTTTTATTAGATCGACATTTAAGGATCTGTTGGTACTATAAAAAGCTACTTGTATTTTTCTTGTTTGGTGAAGTTGATCTCTCGAATAGTTGAAAACAGTGGGGATGGTTAGGAAATGGTATTTTAGGGCTATAAGAGAGAAACGGAAAAGGAAACGATAAAATGTGCTGTTGGACAACAAAATCAAGCAATTAGACGAATGAAATTTGTTATTGGACCGCAGAATTAAGTAGTTTGACTAAAACTAATGGATCGAACGGTGAAATGGTTTTGAAGGATTTTAAGAGAAACGGAATAGCAAATGGCAAAATCTGTTGTTCGATAGCAAAATTAAGCAATTCGACTGTTATTTGACTGAAAAATAATGCGTCAAACAATCAAACAACGAGATACGGATGGCAAAGAGGATCTAGCATTTGTTCCTAAGCACCATACATACTCACCACTTGCAAAATAAAAAACATACAACACTCTGGAGAGCATAAAACTGGTAACAAAGTCTCCAAAAACACAACAATAACTAAAATTTGCAAAACAAAATAATAATAATAAATAAAATAGGTTCATTATAGAAAACAATTTTAATTAGAAATTAATAAATAGTAAATAAGCCAAAAAAAGATAAAAGATCTCACTGACTATGCCAACTGGATTTGAACTACCAGTTCTAGCTCGTAGTTGCTAGAACTACTAAGTCTTACTCAGGAACTTCGTGGGATTACAGGATCTCATCTATCGCATAAATCCTTCTGGGAAAGCAGAATGCTCTTGCATCATCCTTCCGGGCTAAGAGATGCTTCTTCTTCTCTGAAATGATCTAGATCCGTAGAATGCTCTTGCATCATCCTCCCGGGCTAAGAGATGTTTCTTCTTCTCTGAAATGACCTAGATCCCATCGTCTTCTCTGGAATGACCTAGATCCCATTGTCTGATGTTCATTCCCACAAAATACCTATCGAGTTTTTCAAAATAATGGCTCACCATTTCTATCTGACCATAGAAATGTGGTTCACCACTTTTATTTGGGATGGCAATGTTGAGTTGAACTTGAACTTAGTACCCAACTTCATAAAACCTTCCAGAAGTAGCTAAGAAATTTTCTCATCTATATTTGAAATGATGACATGTTGGACCTTCCAAAGCAATAGTAACCTATGAGGTAGATTGTACATTATAAAATATTGAAACCCTCTTACTGATGGCTGCACTATGTCCAATGTCAGTTCTTCCATGTCACATTCTTCTAGTATCACAAAGGCCAATCTCACACGCACCTCTCTCATGTTCTATAGAAATGAAGCACAAGGCTTATAAATATGTGGCATAGGGCACTAAAACTAATGTCCTTGTCTAAGTCATCATTTACTCTTTCAACCACAAAAGCAAAACACTTTTTCCATCCTTGATAAATGAGTATTTATTTTGTGACCATTGTAAAGTATACTCCCATTAGCCCAAACAAAAATGACAGGCGTCCATGAACACAACATCACACCAAATCTGATCTTGCAACTTTTCTCCCATTAACAAATTCTATCAAACATCTTTTATTAACACTACTTTTATTCTGCTTCTTAAGCCAATTCAAAAAATGTGGCTGAGAATACTTCTAGGCTGTGACACTCAACTTATCCACCATTTGTGTAGATGTCACATTTTTAAAAATGTCGCCATCAATAATAAAACTACATACAAGTATTTTCAAAATACAACGGGTAAGAAAGATGTTGTGGCAGATCTAATGGTTCTCCCTCATGTGCTCAGTTTGAAGGATCGTTGAATCATTAGTATCTCTTCCTCGTCGGTTGGAAGTTGATACTCTTCTCTGACATTCTCTTTTTGTCATGTGTCACTATTCATTTATTCAAATAATCTCTACTCAATGAAAAAGATCACCCTTCAATTTGGGCAATTTGATGCAATGTACCCAAAACCATGGCACTTGATTCACTTCCGAGCTAGAACCATTTTATGGGTGTTGATGCTCTCCATCATCTCTCCACACTAGGCTACTTTTTTCCCTTAAGAGATGGTCCCCAACATTCTATAAAGTATGGGCTATCACACAAGTATACATGTTGAGCAGGTGTTATACGTATTTCGAGTTTATGTATCAGTCTCACGAAAAAAATTATTAATTTACAAATAACTTTAAGCACTAGTTTACTAATCTTAAGTCTAGTTCAAAATAATAAAAATTTAAAGGTCTTAAAATTATCTAAATCATAATTTTGCAAAAGTAAAATCTAAATAGGCTTAGTTTTCTAATATAAAAATTATACTTCTTTGAATTTGATCATATGAATCTATAATATTCTTCCAGTGAATCTCTCAAAATTAATATTGATAATCGGAGATAATTACTCCTAACTTTATTCCTAAGCAAAAGAAGCATTGGAACCTCATAATGTAGTTAAGTTTCATTTAGCCCTGCAAAGTCTTTTGGGATTTTTGATTCACCTACACAATTGACAATATTTCAAATCCACTAAGTGATTGAGTGTTAACTTACTTGTTCTTCTAGCCTACGATTAATAATCCTATATCACAAGTTTTTTTAACTTTTCAAGCAGTCATATTGAAAGTAAATTAAGTTCAAAAAGATAACACATCAACATGTTTTTTCTGTCTATTTTTTTTCTTCTTTTTATTTTTGAAGGAGTCGTCAGTCTGTCAATCGCCGTATATTTCCTTTCTCATAATAAATCTCTCTTCCGAGTTATATGAATTGCCCGGAGAAGAGAGTAAATAGAAAAGACGAATATACGACAAATATGACAGATAAGAGAAAAAACAAAACGAGGAGAACCAACGTGTGATAAACCTCGCAATGATAGGTCAAGTATGTCTGCCCAAACAAGATCGGATGGAGGCACCTTGGATCAATATCCACGAAAGAATACCTACGTAGGCTACCCATAACCAGAGAGTCAGATAGATGCCTATTACGTAGGCTACCCATAACCAGAGTCAGATAGATGCCTATTTTGGGGTCAAGAGCACTCTCAAGGGAAAGTGTCTCACTTGGTTAATTACATCTTGGGGATACCCAATAATACTCTCGGTAAAAGGTGTTTCGCTTGTATTATCGTAGGATTGGGAAAATAGGATATCAAAGGGAGGTTATTCTGTGTGGAAAAGCCCAAAAGCTTCATAAATTACTCCTACATTTCCAACTCCTCAGATCCAACCATCATCATGCACTTCGTCCAATAAGTGGTTTGCCTCAGTCATTCAGCCGGCAAACTACCTCATCCGGTCAATCGCACCTAACAAACTAGCCATTTCAGATCCTCCAACCGGCGACCTACTTCCAACTGGCTGCCCTATCTCCGGTTAGCCACTTTGCTTCTACCTTAAAACATGGATGAAGGTAACTTCACACTTCTTCCTTGTTGGCATGAAACGCCCCAACCAGATTTACAAATACGCGACTTTATTTTTGTCCAAACAAAGTGTTTGAAAAGGTTTTAGTTAAATCAAAGTTGAAATCCTACTCTAAATCCATTTATTAGATAACCCCTTAATACTTGAATAGGTTGTAAAGATGCATTTATGTACATACCACCCAATCCTCTGTCTTTACATATGTAACCCCTAAACTTTTCTAATTTATCCACCATGGCCGATCACTCCGAGTATCCACCTACTTCCGATCAACAGCTTGCTTCCGTCCGACCGACCACCTGCCGCCAACTCCGTTGGTCTTCTCTCTGATTTCTAGTGGCATCTCAAAAACAGGAAAGATTTAAATACATACCACTATAAAACATGAAAGATTTAAGCCGAACGATCTTGACGCTTCGGTTGACCGCTTATATTTGTCTCGGTGGCTTATGTCGTAACAGGAATATGTTTTGGACTTTGAAGCTAGGCTTTAATAGTTCACTTATGTGGGTCCTGATCGCTTGATTAGACCTTAGTCTTAGGTTAGGGGAGGAGACATCAGACTGTTCTTTGGGATGACTATCATCGTATACTTAGCGAAACTTGTCGCTACTTGGCAGGGAACCATCTTTGAATGTTTGTCTAACCAAAGCTTAGGAACTTAAGCTTGTGGTGAGGAAAATCTCCCGGCTAGCCCTTTTTATCGATCAGATGTCCATGATGTAGTTATCAATCATTTTTGTATAACTTTAACCGATTGGAAATTCTTGACGTTGCTGTCGGTTTTTCTATTTGGTTTGAGTTCACCGAGTGTCGAATGGTTTTTGAAATGCTTGAACTTTCTGAGTCTTGTAAATCTTTTGTGTTTTTGAGATGCCATTGAAAATCCGAGAGAAGGCTGGAGGAAGCCGACCGGAGGTAGTTGTGGTCTGCCACGGTGGATCAAGTAGCAAAGTTTTGGGGTTAGATATGTAAAACCGTGCATTCTATAAAAACTAATCTTGCTTAGGGTAGAAAGCCAATTTCTTAAAGGTCACTTTCC